AAACGTACGTCTTCTCCGAAGCGATTCTGAGCTAAGAAGAACATTTTTCGCATAAGTATTAGATGACTTATTGTTTCGTTTCTGTTACGTACGTTGAATGGGCGAATTGTAGCGATATTTTTCTCTTAGATTAAAATTATTTCTCGAGAAAAGGAATGTTGAAAAATTATGCTGTATTTTTTTTTTTTTTTTATTTTGATTTTGAACGCTCGCTTTATGCGATAGAAACGAGTTAAACTGTGGATGTGTTTGAGTGATGTACGTAATTTTTTTGTCACAGGCAATATCGATGGCGGGGCACTGAGATCATTGAGAGGTGACTGGAAGATCTAGTCGCGCTCCATAGAATCACCATCGAGGTATCCAACCAGGTTACACGAGGATCATGAAAATGGTGTTGTCTCAACGTCAGAGGGAGGAGTTGTAAGTTGGCTCATCGTGCACCATAAAACGCTTCACGTTTATTCCTATTTGCATTTTCGATTACGACGCGTTTAATGGCTTCCCTTTAGTTCTCTTCTTCCTTTAGCTAGAAACGTTTCTGTCTCTTTCTTTCTGAAGTTTCAGGGGTTGATACACGCGAACGTGTCTATCCCGGGAACGGATCAATCGAGGAAATACGCTAAGGTTTCTCTCGTACCACCCACACCGGAGTCCCCTTTCACAATAATAGCTCAAATCTTGTCTATATTCCGTGTGTATGTGGATTATCATTATCCTTAAAAAAATCTTGACAAATACTTTATACAAATACTTTCCTAGGCTCTTAAATAACTAATTAGTGAACTTTTAAATTCTTGTCCTCGATTTGAATTTGAATCAAGGTCATTTCTTCGCTGTTAAAATTTTCTCTTGAGTTAGAAAACACCTAGAGTACATCGTAATGTGGCAATCATCCGAGCTACCTTGGCATCGTTAATTGGCATTGAGCATTGAGTCTTAATGGGCTAACTGTGTAATTGGTTCGTTACATATTTTGCATAATCGTGGGCGCGCGAAGGTGTGAGAGCTGCATGGGAGTCGCTCTTGAATTTTCTCATGCCTTCGAGTCTTCGATTTCACAGAGAGAGAGAGAGAGAGAGAGACAGAGAGAGAGAGAGAGCGAGACGGCCGGTAGTATAGATGAGTCACTCGATGCGAGACAAATAACGATAC